ATTTAATTTTAATTTACAAAAATGTTATTGTAATATAATTACAGAAAAATAGTGTATTGAACTGTCTATCGTCCGATTTAAATATTTCGAGGATATTCTTTCCTTTTTAATCCATTTTTGGTTGTTTCTTCTAAGTTATAAATAAATGACGATAATATATAGGAATGTTTCATATTTTCAATTATATTATGTTATTTTCCTGATTGTTTTAAGATTATTTCTAAAATTATACAATTAATATAATATTTCACTTTGCAATATACCTATAAATATTAAATAAAGGCGTTCTCTTTGTACAAGAACATTATTTATTTCATATATCGTAATGGCAGTCATAGTCAAGCTTTTTTATGCTTTTTCTTCCTCCTCCTAGCCCCTCGAGTATTTCAAAAACTTGTGAGGTTATTGTTAAAGAAAATAAAGCTTGATTCTACTGACTTCACTCATATTGTAAATTGATTGCAGTATATTTTCTTTCCATACACGAGCACAGATTATAGGAATAGGTTAAAGAATAAAATAAGGCTTTTGATTTCGTTAACCCCTGTATATATAGGTGTCTTACTTTTCAATGAAATCAATATATACAAAAACTTCACAAATACAGAAAGCTATCGGAGCATTCAAAATCTAGGCACCAGAATTGTGATTAAAACTCCAGCCGACTTCCATGGCAGAAAGCATGGCCTTGAACAAAAGGTGGGACAACCCCAGCCACCAAATTCACCTTCACCACTCCGATTAGCCCGACGCCATCCTTGTGCCACAACCATTGGCCGATGACAATTACAGCACATGGAATCCATGACTATGGCCTTAACGGTCAAAAACAAGGTGGGGTTCGTAGATGGCTCGATCGAAGAACCTGATGCGGATGAACTGCAACAATGGAATCGGCTGCAACAACTTGGTTAAAACTTGGCTGCTGGGATCTATGTCCAAGGAGATTGCCAGCAGTGTTATCAATTGCAAGGATACCAGAAGGACGTGGCTCGACTTACATGAGCGATTCTCACATGTAAACACTATCCAACTGTTTAATGTGGAGAATGAAATCCATGTTTGCATCCAAGAAAACAGGACTGTATGGTCTTACTTCACGAAATTGAAAGG